TTTATAACACTTAACATCGTGCCCGCGCACGGCACGTGAGCTTTTCACGTACCGGCTAGCCTAGTCTAAATTTAACTACCCGACTTTTACTGTTGAACTCATCCATCTCGGACGACGCTTATTTGGATATCTGCTAGCTGCGAGATCTGCACATGGCGACTTTGCGGAATACCGTCGACGGTTTCGGCACGAAAATGTGTTGTGATGTAATCGTCTTGGCAGAATGAAGATTTAGTTGGGAAAGAAACTGGGTTAATGTTAGCGTATGCTGACTAGGCGGAGCTTTATTTCTGGTATAAATATTCAACAATGGATACATTGTGACGGTGTGGATACAGTTAGAGAAGATCAATATAATAAACTACAAACAGCTCTCTCGTCACTTCCAGACCTCATCAACGGCTCAACATCCGCTCTCACGTGAATCTTAAAATATCATCCTCTAGCTCATATCCATAATAAAATGCCATTCTAACCCGTTCATGTGGTCAGGAAAATTCTCCCGATCACATCTTCGTCTGCCGTAATAGATAGTTCCAGGATCGGCTAAAGAGGACCCAAAAATGTTTAATCCTAACACACCTTGGGCTCCTGCTTCAGAAAAAGGAGTTCAGTCCTTTGATAGCTGGGCACATATCACAGGTTTCTATGTAGAGACACAACAGCAAGTCTGGCTAGACTTGAACCACTGAATATAGGCCTACCGAGCCTCAGACTGATATAGAGTTTTTCTATTTTTTTCTATACGTTTTCCCGTAATAACTATCTGAAAATCATTTATATTTGACTCTTCGAGTTTAGGATGGTTAGATTCTGGCCTTCTATTGCTATTCTGGGTTTGTGTAGGTGCCAAATATAGGTAATCAATTTAATTCCAAGATCATTGTATGGAGACGGTGAGTTGCAGCTGTGTAAAGCGCGGCACAGGTCTCGGTAAGACACCTGTACCGCGTCGGGCAGGAGACCTCTAGCTTCAACTCACATGACGAGAGCATATTAGACAGCCTAGTTCTTGCAGCATCTTCCGGTGAGTACGCGCGGAAGACGGTTAATTGTTCGTAAGTAAATTGGCTTCAGTTGCGCAATTAAATAATATACAGAGTATAAGTGTCCACAGGCAAACAGGTAACCCTACATGTATACATATAACTGATCACGAGTCATAGCTATCTAGCTAGACATAATCGTTTGATAGAACAAATATCGTTTAATCTGAACTTCAATAACCTTGGAAAATCTGTTTTCTTTAAATTATAGAGGAACTATTACGCCACATGAATTATTGACACTCTTACGCGACCTGAGACGTAAATTTAAAGATAAATGCCACGTCACTAGTCTTACCATACGTACGAGAATCACAACGTTATTCAGTACGTTACACTAGAGATGAGGAAAAATCTCTCCTCTCAAAGTCTGACCTGAACTGCTGTCAAACCCCACATTTCCCGGACACTTTTGAAGTTCCCGCTACATTCCATAAAATGGGACGGATGTCATGTCAGATTCTCGTGTTGTAGACAATTGTCTCTTTGGATACCGAAGTATTTCGCGAAAATTCTGATTTCTAGCTTTCATGCCAAAACTGCAACCCACCCTCTCCAGTCAAAGAGGACTCCTGTCCCCAACAAACAAGCCTCGCGACCCGATCTATTCTACACTTCATGTTAGACGAGTGGTATTCTCGCTGGGATGCAAAGCTTTATCCAGAACTCATCATGAAAGTCGTCAGGTGCAGTGACATTTATCCCTGGCACCACGTTCTCGCTACCTACAATAAAGCAGGGGTGGAACTGGAAACGAAAACTTAGTATCCTTCATTTTTGTCACCTACGGATCTCTAGCTGTTATTATAAAATCTAAAGAGCCGAAACTGACTAACACCTCCCTCCTCACTTCGATGAAAGTTCACTAAAAATGTCGAGATCTATATCGTCTTCATCTCTCAACACAACCCCTAGCACCATTGCCATGAAGCTGAACACAATCAGATCAGATAGTAGGGACGAAGTCCTACTTATTACCCACTCTTGGTCATACAGGAAAAGCCACCCGATGAGTCTCTGCAGCTAACCTGTCTTCTGAGACGGCGATGGTAGATTGGATCAAGTTGACCTTTCATGTTACAAAGAAGAGAGATGAAGATGAAAATTCACAGCTTACGTGGCTACGGTGTCTGGGCCTCGCCTGGATAGGCCATAGGGATTTTGATAATTTTCCTGTGCTCTTACTTTTCATTATCTTTTTTCGATAAAGATATCGTGGAATAGGTGTCTAAATCCCACGGATAAATACTGGGCTTGATGGCTATTCATTATGGGCAATATGTCAGATCACTTTTTGTAACAAAAGTGGATTAGAGCACTTAAAAAAGTGCGGCCGAGATCAGAGCAAAGTCCAACGTGCTAGATAGCCAAAGAAAAAAAGTAGCACAATCACAAATCAAGCAACTAGCGTTGTAAAGAATACGGGAATGACTGAGGTTTTCATGACAAGCAGGATCGGGTCCGGTAATCACTATTTACGAGAAGATGTTGATGAGGATGAAACGAGGCTCAGGTACATATTGGTCAGAGTTGAAAGCGATATATATGTTTTCTTGTAGGGTATAGGTTTGCAGGAAATTTCTGTAAAGTTTAGGCGGCCGGAGTTTCCTTCAAGCAATACGTTGATCCGTTCGCTATGATATCGGCCACACTGATGGTACGAGGAGAGAGCAAGACTGTACACCTGTACGCGTAGCCTTCTGCGAATCTGGGAGTGAAATATTCTCCCAGCGCCAAGTTCAGTCAATTTTCGTAATACCAAAGAAGTTGGCCCACGAGGTAATGATTCAAAAAACTCCACCACGTCAATTTTCACTCCCAACGAGTTTGACTCCTATCCAAGTCTCATCAAGTCTAAAAGTACGACCTAGTACATCCTCATTCCAGTGATCACACCTCTCGTCAACTTTCTCTGGCCTCAGCTGGTCACCAAATACACGCCCATGCCGATATTTACACCCGACAGAGGAAGCAAAGCGTGGCGCACAAATCTGGAAGACAGTTCTTTGGAATAGACGTGAGAGGGATCAGGACAGGTCCATCAGATGATTTCCCAGAACAATAACAACACAAGAATAAGTACAATGCGGGATAAGCGCGTCTGTGAGTGCAGCTGATACTATAAACACAAGTCAACGATGGAAGGTGCCGTGATTCACCTACTGGTGGTGTTCTCTGGTTAGGTTCGAGCAGCCTGGGCACCTACTCCACTTGGGAAGGAGACACCTTAGACCATATTTCGTGCGGAGACAAGTCAGTAAATGATGGAGGCATGTCTGAATAACTCTGGGACTCTGAGACATATCCCTAGGTGGGTATTCACGGATGAGGGTTGACTAGGGCGAAGAACAAGCCACCTCAACTTCAGTGGTATTTGCAAATGAAATCCGAGCCTTGCGTGCTTTATATTTTTTAGTTTAGTCAATTACTCTGTGCTTTGCCTCTGACAAAACGTCATGGCCAGATAGCTGTATACGTAATTATAGTCTGAGCCGAAATAAAACCTGACCAATCTCGGATCCATCAGGAGTGTGAAAGGTGTGTCGCAAAATCGGTATGGGTTCGATGAGTAAGGCGGCTCTAAGAATATGGGCGCGATTTATGAATAGAATAATAAAAATATGAATCAGGAGAATATGTGATATACTGTGGAGAAATAAAAAATGGATTGAATGAATTAATTAATTATCTGTCTTGGTGATTTCTAGACAGCTTACATACATGTATACTTGATAGACCAAATCCAAATCAGATACCATCCATCACTCGTTCCATACTCTAACGATGACAATGAACTGCACGACTGTATAAAACATAAGTATGGGATCAAGGTCGGTTGATGAAAGCATACACGAGTATCAGACCATACCATGCACTAATCGAGTCTCAAGCATCAAACATGCTCAATAAAGGAGATATCAATCATTTTGGTCGTAATTCAGGTCGTTAGTTATGTGTGAGAATCTTAGTTGTTCCAATCATGGAGAAAGTTCAGACACACAGAGTCTGAATTTCCAACTTGGTGACACTAACCTGTTAATCTAATCGATTAGAGATTTTAGCTCTTCTGTGTCCAAGGTGAAAGATCGTTATATGCTACATGATGAGCTTTAAATTTCTTATAACTATATCAAGGCGTTGGGTTCAATCCATTCCTCTACATTTTGAGGGTTGTCTTGATCTTGTCACTAATGTCGATTTACCAACTCCACACATTTAATTTATCCCGGTTTTAGTCTCTACTTTATTTGTTGAGATATAGGTTCGGTCTCCTGTTTTATACATTTGTCTTATCAATAAGAAAGCTAATAGAAAATCGTCTGTACAACACAGTGTAGATTTTAGGTCATTTTGACATGGTGTAGTTACTCTTAGATCCATTAATCTCTGAGCAATTTTATCGTGCATATGCTCGTGTTAACAAACATGAGTTCGGGCTTCCTTACCCAAGTACAAGCTCTTCAATCTATCTGACATTAAAAAAAACACTTTCGGTTGACTTTTACGGTCATCTTCTTAGTGTGTAGTTCGCCTAACGAACCATGTTGTTAGTCACCCACACATGACCATTGCAGTAATATTATTAAAATGTCAATTTATGATAGATAGGCGTTATTTTCGAGAAAATTCCGTGAGATTAAGCACTCAATAGCTAATGAAGGTGTCGATCTATGAACAGTTTAAGGAGAGATACTCTGTTGATACTAAGTGATGATATTAAAAAAAAATTAAATTTTAGGAAGAAAACCTGGTCATTCTACTTTATAAACCATATCTCGCTCTTTTAGTGACCAGATCAATACGATTTAGTTCGACAGGGCTGATAATAGAAAGTTTGTGCCTAGGCCTGTTAAATTTGGTACGTTTTAGCTGGGACGGTCGGCTGAAGAGAGTTTCACATAGAGGCTTACACGTAGAGCCTCTGAGTTGAAGATAGGTGGGTTATGAGTCGAGTTAGATAGCTAGAAAGTATCTTGCATTCTCGTAGACCAAGAACGTCACCCAAGTTGATGGTAAAACGCGGGCCACATTGATACCTACTCCTTTGTAGAAACCTCGCCAGCCATGATCCTCCAAAAGTGCTTTTGTAATTCCTTTGATACCTTGACCAAACTTGCCATCCGCTTTATACGCCTGCATTCGACTTCTGACCACTTGTATAGGATAAGTGACGGTGCCAGCAATTACTTTGGCTGATCCACTGATGATCACCGTAGCAGTCACTCCGAGCCGCTCCCTTTGTTCGGGGGAACGATCTGCCGTGATAGGAGGTGAAATATATCTCTGCCACATCCTCTTTAATGGCTCGTAGACACCAAATTGTACTGCACCATGACTATTCCCAAGCAGGCTGACAGATACGCCTCTATAAAATCCTTTGAATCCTTCTTTTTTCCAGATCTGCTTGGTACCATGCCAAATGCTCTCATAAGCTCCTTCCTGACCGCGGTCCGAGCTGAGCATGCGCGTCTTCAATACCCATACAGGATTTGTCGACAGCGTAATTAACGTGCCTGAGATGCCAGACGAAATAAAGTAGTCCAATGGTGTCAATGTATAGTGAGCTGGGGCGCAGGGCAGATTTCTCTGTGCTAACGGTGAGGTCGTTGCGAAGCGCGCATGCAATTGCAAAATCTGCTGCTCTATGATCGACTTGCAGCTAAAGAAGATAGCCCAGCTGCCGGCGTTACCAAGCAAGTTGGGAGTAAGCCCACGATATAAACTGTGGATGGGCTTTTGACGATTGAGCAGGGCGCGAAAAATTTCCAAGCTGTCGATTGGGCCCGCCGATCTGCGATGTTGCACTTGGGGCCTATTAGCGATGAGATGGTAGAAAAGAGCGATAATCCTACGTTCCTTGAATGCGTGTCTTAATTACATCCAAGGGATGAACTATAAGTGTCGCTGTAGACCCCGCCAAAAGGCCAGCAACGGCCTCAACCTGAGCAGTGGAGAGACGCGCATGGTGATCAGGCATAGAGTAGTGTTATGATGAGCATTGTGACGGCTGGTTGTTGTGTGTAAGGGAAGCCATCACACGTCAGCCTTACGTTACAAGGATGATGAGGCTACTACTCACACACCAATCTAAGCATCCACTGAAAGGTGGCTGTCATGTGTTGTAACTCGATCCGCTCTTCATTCAAAATTATTACACCACCTCGCAGCAATGGTCGCCAACAAGAATTCAGACATGGCGAGCTGTACGTCTGTGGCTGACGCTTTCGCTCATCCGCTTCCTCAAATACGGCAGATTCATCGCAACTTGGCTGATGAGCTGGATGAAAAGAAATATCGGTTACGAAATGCCGTCGGTGGAAACTATCGGCAACTTCTAGGAACAGCTGAGACTATCCTCGAAATGAGCGATGTGATGCAAACTATTGAAGAGAAACTTGGACGCATTGGACAGGCCTGCGCTCGACGCATGGTTGAGAATAAGAGCTTCAGTCTAGTAAGACTCCACGAAAACAATAAAAAAATTACATTTGAGAACAACCTTCACTGGTGGGCTCAAACTAAGTCCCTTGAGATGTGTGCTGTGGTCATGGGAAGGCTGCTACGAAAGAAAGATGTTAGTGACGAAAGCAGGGCAAGAAGTCTCGTCACATCGGCTAAGGTTTTCGTGTTAAGTAGACTTCTTACAGTGAGTCTTTGTGAAACTTTAATAAACAGAGAACAATATTTGGTGGAAAAAATTGGAAAAAAGCTGGGAATATTGCGGCTGAGGCTTCTTAATGCAATAGAACAGATTCTGAGATGTACTACGTTAGAAAATCGAGAAATTTTAGTTCAAGCTCTGGTTGCACTCAGCCTAGTAACTGATTTAGGGGCTGAAGACGTACTGAAACACTTTCTTTGCTCAAGGATGGAAGCGATGGCTATTTTGTCCACAGACTCTACTGTTAAGCGCAAGGAAAAACTGGTTAAGGCCTTGATACTCTATGCCATGACTTTATACGACATGAAGACAATTTTACCTAGACGACTTACCGAAAATATCGCTGGGTTGAAGGTAAATTCCTTGCTCATGGATAAAACAATTCGCGACTTGGAGGAGTTAAGACTCGATGAACATGATAAATGGTTCGGGGAAGATTTACTCCAGTTTACCCCTCGCATGAGGCATGATGATATTGATGGAGCTCAGGCTGCAGACTTGCTAGAGAAATGGGACCAGAAAGCGGTTGATGTCTTGATTCAAGGTATTGTCAAAGCATTGGAGAGCGAAAATGATTTGAAGACCGTTGTCGACATGCGAACAAAAATAATAGAGGTCTGGCTTAAAGAGGGGAATAAAGTCAGGGGTCTTGATCTTCTAGTAAGGATGGACCGGTTCCGAAGTTCGCTGAATTCTCGCATCTATACACTCCTAGAACTAAGAATAAGCATGCTAAAATCAATTGGAGTGGAGCTCGAGACAACGATATTATCTTGGCAGTCTGGTGTCCATGACAAGCCAGACAGTCTATGGGATTCATCCGCGCTGAACATGGACGTAAGTAACGGTGCAGAGGCATTCAAGCAGATGGTACTTTCACGAATGCATGGTCGAAATGATTCCCTTTCAAAAACCTTCAAGAAATATCAATCCTGGCATCGTTTATATGACGAGACTGTTACTATAATTTCTCAGATCAAAAGACAGCGATGGGACGATGGTCTCGAAGATATTTCCAACGAAGTGGGCCCCCAAATTCTCAATGAAACACTGAGTGTTGAGGATGCCCAACTTTTAGAGAATTATCTCCGGATTCTCTTGAGGAAGGCATTCGAGGAGCTACATAAGCAGATCGAAGCTCTTTTACATGCCATTGAAAATTGTGATCACATAAGCCAAATCTCAGCCTACCTTATACGTATCGTTCGCGACGTTCGTTCGGAACTTCCTGATGGCGAAGCTACTAAAAACTTTGGAGTCGCCCTACTAATTCCACTTCGAGAAAAAATGGTTCCCGTGGTCGTGAAAGATCATCTGCCAACATTTGTAAAATCTGCATGTAGCGGGAAAATCGTAGGAAGGTCACTTTGGGAAGGTGATCCACAGCTACCATTGCAGCCATCTCCGGCTGCTTTCAAGTTGATTTTTAATTTAGTTCAGACTATGGGAGAATTAGGTGGTGATCTGTGGTGCCCAGCAACCGTTCTAATCTTGAAGAAATATGTCGCTCTTGATCTGAGTGATCAGTGGGCGCAGGCCTTACATATTACAGCTGATGGGATGGGCGAGCATTCTTGTTTGGGTGTTGATTTTGATTCTAATGATAATTCGGCGAAAGAACTGATGATCCAGGCAATGTTTGATTACTATCTTATCCTAAAAACTGTTTTCTCTGCTCCAGACCTGGGCTCTGAGACCACCGCAGCCTTGGAGGTTCTCATAGGGTCTAGGGCTGGTCTTAATTCGGAGTTGCAATTGCGTATCTACGAAGCATCAAAGGAATACTGGAAAAGGACAAGTTTACTCTTCGGGCTTTTAGTGTAGCTGATAAAGGCCCGAGGTTGACATTGCATGAGTACCGTCTTGATCGCCTGCGATCATGTATTCTCAAGCTCATTCAGCCTTGCCGAAAGGCTGAAGAAGAATGTTCTGAAAATACCCGTGTCTCGTGCCACATCTTTTCCCCTCTCCTTCGGACCTCAGGAATCCAAAAAGCCCCAATGAGCTGAGAAGAAACCATGTCCAACACTCGTCTTATATTTTTACACCCTTACCTTCTCTGCTTCTTCAGATTTCTTAAAATCAAACGGCCGCGAAACCGAATCCCTCTTCAATACCCCTGCCAGCCACGAAATTTTATGACATTAGCTGTTCGGCAAGCTGAGCTCGTCCGAAGACATGGAAAAGCAGTCGAGCCTGTTGTGCCAAAGCACCAAGGGCTAATAGATTCAGTGCTAGTGGGGGATACGGGCAAAAATAATGAACATAATACTGACAGCGAGAAGACGATAACTCAGACTGATGATCACAACGAAATTCAGCAGCATGCTCCCAATTTATGGCTCACAGTACAATCAACGGAAATGACTCCGTCTGAAATAAGTATCGTTGGCGGCGAAGAATGTGTTGATGCACCAGCGAAGGAAAAAATCGAAGAGTTAAGACAGTTAGGAGCACCGCTTGAAACAGTTCTACACATGCCGCCTCCACCGAAGGCTAAAGGACGGAGCGCTTCGAAGCCGTCTCACATACAAATGCCGCTCTATTTACACCACTTTGATACATACACTCTCGTGCAGCAAGTACAGGCTGGAGGGTTTACCTCAGAGCAAAGCATTACTGCTATGAAGGCTGTCAGGTCCCTTCTTGCAAAGAATCTTGACGTGGCGCGCGATAGATTAGTCAGCAAAAGTGATGTTGAAAATGTAGGCAATTCCAAGGCGCGAGCTTAGCCCTTAACAAATCCTTGATTACCTGCTAATTTAGAGCACCAGCAATCTTATCTTTTCCGCGCTGCCTGTTCCGAGCTCAAGACAGAAATCCACAATACACGCTGGAAGAATGCCCAGATAATGCGTAGGGAACGTACGCTACTGCAGCACGAAGTCGACACCTTAAACCAAAAGCTCACACAAGAACTACTCACTCTTAAAGATGATCTCAAGGGTGTCTTTGATGATCGGAAGATGTCAGTGCGCGTGCATCAGCGTAAAATGGAGGGCAAGGTTCAAGCTCCCGACTTCCCCGCTGCAGTCATATGTCAGACTGACTGTAACTTAGATTCAAGAGCTTGACTACAAGATTACTGTGCTGCTCAACAGCGATAGCAAGTCTGAGATCGAAGGGCTCCGTTGGGTTTTAACGCGACGCTCTGTAATGGGTATTTTGTTTATGGCATTTATGGTGTTAACATCGCTACAGTATGCAAGCTACAAAAGTCACGAGAATGAAATGAAGAAAAAAGAGGCTATACTTAGGTCTTGAGATTCGATTAAGAACGAGCTCACTCACAGGATCATAGTGATTCTCCCGGCTACTTGGGATTAGAAAGAATATGAACTTTACCCATGATTTGAGTTTTTGAGACACAGATTTCTCACGAAAAATTGGGATTGGACTTTGTGATACTCTTTCACAAGCATGCGTTACCTCGAAATTTCGTTTTACGGTATTATTTGGAGTCATGAGAGCTACACAAGATATCAAGAGTCTTCCACCGCTTATCTCATTATACATGCATCTTTTCATGACCGGACAACCTGACCTTTCTCTCACTGTCCACGAGATCCTTCAGATAATAGCAGTTTCAGGCAATAGTTATGGAAGGTAAATATCTATGCATTTGTCTTCGAATCTTCCTCGGATTTTCGACATGTAGTAGCGCAACCTGGCCATGGACGACCACTATTAAATTTTATGAAATATGTTGAAGAGTTATCATTCTATCAAGGAAAAAGGAGATAAACTTCGAATGCAAAGAATATTTTTAGTCGTCTAGCAAAACTATTGCTCTGCACAGTCGGGCAATGTTGATTCACGTGGTTCACAAATCACTAAGGTTGGATAAGCGGTAGAAAATCTATTTTCTAGACTAATCATCCACAAAAACAAGCATATAAAAAAATCAAACCAGTACGATAATCGACAGTACACCCCAGTTTTTCTGGGACTGTTCCCCAGTATCATGACTGGTCCTATGGAAAAGCCTCGAAATTTTTCCTTGAAGATTTTCAAGATAAAGTACGTAAATGGTTTCTAACCTGCGTGAGCTAGGCGTTAAAATGGGTCGTTCATCATAAGGTTCTGGGCCATAATGAAATTTCAGCTTTTGCCTACAGTGCCCAGATTTTGTGATTTAACGCCGCATGGTTCGATGAAAGCAAATTCCTATTTTGATGAAATTCACGCAAAAAAACTAGTACTTCAGAAGTGATGAGTTATCTACGATGTCAGCACTTTTTTACTTTTCAAATGAGATCAGGCTGGATCAGATTCTATTATATTCAGTATATGAAGTTTATTACTTATGTTGGACAGATTAACTTACACTTCACTCACGAATTGAATCATACAAACTCCGAATACCAGGAGAACTTTGAGTAAACCTGCGAAAATTCTTTATCTTGTTCATCTCATTACTTATCCACCATCAGAAATTACAGCGATTTTCTGACCAAAATCTTCCATCAAACACCCGGAAAATTTTCGTCAGTAAGTATTAGAGCTTCTTCGTAAAAGCGTTATCCTTTCAGAATCACTTCAAATTTTTTATGGCATCGCCATGTTTATCAAGGCCTGCACCGAAAGGTGACATAATTATCGTGCATACAAGTTGTAATTTTGGACCTTTTTTAGAGAGTTTTGATGTCTCATTCCACGAACGGCTGGAATGTTGCAGGGGCATTGTAAACCCCGAAAGGTACCATAAGCCAGTCACAAGCACATAATGGAGGTGGAAAAGCTATTTCATCTCTTTCGTGCACTCGAATCTGCTAGAGCCTGTCAACAAGGTTGAAGAAAGCGTACCTTTTTGTCACTTTATTCAATTATCGATTATCTAAAACAATTCTCCACGCGGTATTATCTGATCTAACCGATATTTTCTTGGGTTTGTTGAGAAGAGTTGCTGCACGCGGATTTATAATCTGACGAGCAATAGTTCCGTTATCTACTCCACAGAATTTACAAATAGCTTTCACCTGGACCGGACTATAACTTGGTGAAAGTTTTACAGGATTATAAATACTCGTATCAATAGAATACTTCGTCCTCGAGATGACACTGTAGGTAATATAAAGTAAGAGACTGCGCTTAAGCAAGTGTTTCAGTGGGTTCATGACTCTTTTAATGTACCTTGATATAACGTCTAGTGAGCCGATAATTGTCCTGTAGTACGTGATGATCATCACGTGCCACCCTAGTTCTTGACGTTCTTGTAAATGTATAAATAGTCGAAGAACAATTCTTGAAGGTAACTATAGATGATTATAAACTATCTTCGTAAATCTGATTGCTCATGCATCAATTCTCGAACCGTGACATCTGAAGATTGATACAAACAATAGATCAACTTTGCGAGGATGTCTACCTAACCCGGCACACTTACATTACGCTAAACCTGATCTCCATTATTTCCCCTGTTTGGATCAGAGACTTCACCACAGGTATCTATCTTACGCAAGGATATTTTGAATTGGAATGGGAAAGTTGCGATATTCGTGTTGTCTGTTACAGTTTGACCATCATTTGAGCTTAGGTGGATACCTGAGCTTAATATTGAGAATGTTTTCGATAAGGCTTCATGGGGAGAGACAGATCAAGATGAACAAAACGGCACTACTAGTCAGGAGGTCAAAGTATCGTTACAACCGACTAGCACCCGAAACTGCGTGACTGGGTAGCAAGTGTCGTGCCTAGGGATAGGTCATCAGTTTGTAATTTCACGACGTGGGTCAATTTTTATTAACACCTTTTGGCAGTAGCCATAATTCTCTTTTCTCATATTGTTTAATAAACCGACATCTTCAACACCAATCTAGTTTCCACCACATTGTCGAATTTCGATCCAAGAGGTTTATTTGTCGGGTAGAATGCGGCAGGTTAATACTAAATCGTTGTGGAAGCAAAACTACTTTGCGGGCCTCTGTCTTGAAGTGGTGTAAGTGTTTGTCGACTTGACATATATAGTAGTTGGACTTTCCCTTGAGGTTGAAATTTCAACCCGAGTGTATGAAACATAGCTCGCCCGTGGGTTCGGTATCCCTGGATTGCTTCGTCGGGACGGGACCGACTGAAACGGCAGGACATGCTGACGGAGGCTGTCTCTGAGAGGCGAAGCTTTGCGCCAACGAGTACGTCATGGGAGCCGGCAAAGACGAATTCTTCATCTCTCAGTGGTGCTAGTGGAATCGCTCAGTATGCTTTGTATATCTGTGATAGCCAAGAAGAATCGCATCCGAATCGAAGTCGAAAGTAAACACAAACACAACTATAATCGGCGACTTCTCATCAGTGTCGGTCTTGTCATTCTCACAAGAGTCCTCTACCGTAACCTCTCCACATACCATCTCGTCTCGACGACTGATAAAGGCGTTACTCCAATTGCAAGCAGGAGCTTGCCTCATTCGTTACCGGCCATCACCCACTACAAATTTACGATGCTGTGTATACCCGCAAGGAAATTGATTCATAACATACAAAGCTCGGGTCATGATTTATGGGGTACTGTTGCTCTAATAGGTTTACATTTCTAGAGAAAGGACAGGCGGCTGAGATGTGGAGCGAGAGGGGGATGAGGTCTCTGAAAACCATGCTGGGACTGACATTGTCGAGGGGTTTTCAACTTTGGAACGCGTGTGGACGCTAAGATCGAGGTCTCAGCAAATTAGACAGCAGGGCTTCTATTGTCGATGAGTCGGGACATCATCGAGAGAAGATATATTCATCACACTGCATACTCATAACTATTATCTTGAACTAGAGTCCAATCTAATCCCAAATACTTAGCGGTGCAATGACTTCTGCCAGCGTATCGTCCTTATCGATGGCTGCTAACCCCAGCGCAACAATTCGCCCAACTCTAATGGGTATTTCCGAGGCAGTACAAAAAGCAGAGCAACAAAGGGAAGAAAGACTAGATATTATCCAGGAATTCTCAGAAATAATCGACGCCTGGGCTAATAACAAGGTAGGAATAGCGGCGGCGGCCACAGTGACGCCACTTATTGAAAGCATAGCTACAACAGTAACGTCGTTTGCTATTGGAACTACACAGGCAAATAAGCCCCCTCATAAGACCCACCAACCCTTAGAAGAGCGCGATAATAATAGAGGCTCCTAGGGTGACTAAAATCTTCGCGGCACAGAGATGTAACGGGTTACGTAATGTAGTTATATAGTTAGATCTAGTAGCGTGGCGGTCGTGTATTTATACGGCGTAGATAGAAAACAATAAAGTACTTGCAACCTCCCACAGCTCCGAACCCTAACGTATTTCTGGTGACCTACACAGGGGACTCTGGACTGGTAGTGTACATCGGTCGTAAGCAACGAAGTCAGATAACTCCCACTTTTCCACACGCTGTTGAACGAATTTTCGTGAGAAACATCTTGAGGATTTGAGGCGAGATTCCGTGAACAACCTGCAACATACCATCGAATCGTCAATTGAATCACTTGACTCACGGAATTACAATCATTCTTCTCCTAGAGAATTAGCGATCATAACTTCCTCCTTTGGTGCAGAATATTATCTCTTGCAAAAACCCTTCATCAGCATAGTACGGTTTACGAAATTAGCAACACATCTTCGCACGACTTAGATCAATCCTTGGGCCGTTATTTCGAACAATTATCTAACAGTATGTAGGACTCCTGTTTGAGATAATGTTGATAAATTGGGACTAGGAAGTTTATCTCAGAGTGAAGAAATGTGATTGATTGATTTTTATGAAGTATTCCATCTCTCTTTAAATACAAGTCCATCCGTCCTTCATCCGATCACCCACGTACAGACAATATAATCTCCCCATACTATTGTGCAAGCTTAATGTGTCAAATAGTCCTAAGTATGAAGTAATAACACGATTAGTTCCAATATCGCAAACAGCAACTGTCAGGAGCGACTAATACTAGTACAAGTTTACGAGTCGTAGATAACACGAATATAGATAGTTACAGGAATACGACTCGTACATGATTACATGAGTACAAACAGTTACAGGATATTTTCACAGATAACGTCAGGTAAAACGTTTAGAGCTCAGTATGTCTCACGTGAGATCTTGGCGCACTTAGCCCGCAGGGTTATATGTACTTTCTTGTCGGTTTCACATCGCTTTGGATGCAGGTCATGGTTAGGTTGACAGATAAACCATAAAAAATCTGAGAGTCAACGGTTTTTATTTCTTTTTTACTTTTCTCTTTTTTTTTGGTCCTTTCTATTCGTCCTGGCCAACTTTCGAAGGACACGCTCATTGAAGACT